CTTGGCCACATCACTCGCAATCTACTCGAATCTGGTGTCAGGTGTGCAATGGGTATAGGCACGCACATCACGGGCACAAAATGATTTTATAAAAATCATAACTCTTTTGTGCAAGCTCCGATCTAAGCCCTCTTTATATCTATATATGTGATGATATCAAGGAGTACTACAACTCTCCTTTAGGTTGTTTTAACTAGTTTTGACTTTCATTTTCATGCCTAACGGGGGTAAAAATAAATGATTTTACAAAAATCATATCTCTCTCATATCGATCCCGTTTCTGACATTCTTTGTCCTAAAGTTTATATCTCAAGGAGTACTATGAATCTCGTTTTTGCACTTTTAGTCAAAACTCAACCAATCTCTAAGTACCGTTTTGACGTAATTAACTTTAATTACGTGGTTGATTTTTACTTTTTACTAAATCCATAATTCCTCCGATCGGAATCACGTCAACGCGTACTTTCTAAATACTTTCACCATTTTAAAATATGATACAACTTTTTAGATGCTTATTTCTGAGCCTAACAGTCGATTTAATCATAAATGTAATGACATATTTGATTTTATTATCTTGTAAATCAAACATTACAATACTAAGCTATTACATTTATTTTCTTACTCTCTCCTAACGGTGGTTGGTGACAGAATTTCCCGGTTGTCATATACACACACACATACGCACACACGCACACACACACACACACATATATATATATATATATATATATATATATATATATATATATATATATATATATATATATATATATATATATATATATATATTGCAATTTAACCATTGAAAGCGGTAAACACTTGCAAAACAACCCTTGTACCCGGTTAGTGCCGATGTTAAGGGTTAAATTGAAGAAAACAATCAAGGATTAGTGTTTCGTTAATAAGGTTAAAGTTTAAGTTCTTTTCTGGAGATATTTTCATACATACTGAATTTATTTGAAGAAAACTTATATTCATTTATTATAAAACTGTAACACCAGTTCCATGTGTGTGTGTGTGTATATATATATATATATATATATATATATATATATATATATATATATATATATATATAATTCTTTTGTAATCTTAGCAATCAAGACTTCAATTATGAGGTTTTAGGTGTCCACGATGTGGTGGTGAAGACACCATGACGTGGACTCGCCCGATGAGAACGCACATCTTTTTGGATACGACGAAGTGACAAGGTCCATGCCACGACGTGGTGGCGGCCAACATGCAAACCCAAATTTTTCAGGTTTTAAGCCATATATAAGAGATGTGATGGTTAGGGTTTTCTCACACTCAGCCTCCATCACCTCCTTTCGACCTAAAGCAAACCCTTGCCTCCATTGTTGACATTTTGAGCTCTTATGGTGTTTTATGGTGCCTTGAAGAAGAAGAAGAAGGTGCTCTTGTTGCATAAATCAAGCAAGCAAACCTTCTCATCACCTTCTTTCATACATTATGGACTTTGGTAAGTCCTCAAAGTTCTATCTTTTATGTGTTATTATTCTAGATTTAGGCTTAGAAGATTGTTCTTTATGTTCTTGATGATTTGGGTGGATGGATTCCATAAAGTTGGCAATTTTATGGATCCTTGAGGTCTCTTTATTGTTATATGTTCCAGATCTAGAGTCCTATGGAGTCCTTGGTCTCATGCATAAGTTTTGAGCTTATTTCTTCCATTTTTGACCTAGCTTGGAAAGACATGCATTGGACATGCATCTACATAAAGTAAGTATTTTTATGATGTATGAAAGCCTTATGGAAAGTATGGATGAATGACTCAAGAGATTAAGAACTTAATCCATTAAGTTGGTCAGAGCAGATGTCACGACGTGGTGTTTGATCACTGCGACGTGGCGATAGGCAGTCTTGTGACTGTTTTGTCATGAGGCTACCATGACATGATCTATGCTTGGCCACGACGTGGTGTTCAGTTGGGGTTGACTTTGACCATTGACTTTTTTACTAAGTTGACTTTTTGGATAACCTGAGCGTTTTTAGGATATAGATTGAGGATGTGCCTCTAATTGTTGTATAGGTGGCTCGTAGCAATAATCTTTGTTTCATGTGAGCTGCGTTGATTGTCTGCTAGCCTACGAGGTGAGTTTTTTCACTATACTTTGTATTGTAGTATGTATCCTTGTGTGTAGGATGTTGTTATGATGTAGTGATCTGTTAGTGTGGTAGATCTGTTATGATTACCTTTGTTTGTTGGTTATTGTTTGTTTGTTTTCATATATCGACATATTGTAGCTGGATTGAGGCGGTCCTGCCTTGTGCTGAAGGCTCATGTGTGCATGCATTGTATGTGTATTGTTGTGTGTACTATTTTGGGGAACTCACTAAGGTGCTACTTGTTTTCTTAAAAAAAGATTTTTAGACCTCTTATGGTTGCGCGGCGCAGCACACGCGCAACACTTTTCATCTCACAGCTACTTGTTTTTTAGAAGTCTTCGTGGTAAAAAACCTTTGCGCGTGTTCTGTTTGGGGCAGCACTTGTATTACCTCTTTCAACCTCTTTTTTTTTCTTGCTGAAATCTTGATGAATATTGATTATATGTTGCTGAAATCTTGCTAAATTCTTGTTTTACTTTTTTTTCGTTTTTTTGTTTATTCTTGCTGAATTATTTTTTTCGGTTTTTTATATTGAATAATGATAATTTCTTGCTAAAATATCATTATTTTTTGCTAAAATAACAAAAAAAATCTTGTTGAAATGTCATACATTATTAAATTTTTGGTATTAAAAGCTACTTTTGGTATATAAAATCAGTTTATTTTAATTTTTTTAATATCTTCAGCAGCATGCATATGTTAAAAAGAAAACACACTTCTTATTACATTTTGCAGCCGTTTGTTCCACCCCTTCTGCTGCAGAGGGTTGCATAGGTGGTCGGCATACTTCTTGAATTTTTGTTTCAAAAAAACAAACAACACCTAAGCTTTGTTTTACAGTTGTGGATTTAAATGTTTCAGGTACTTCAGAGGATTGGCGGAAGGCGAAGGCTTGACTGTACACTTCATTCAGTGATTTATATGTTTTTTTTAGAGATACTATGTTTTGATACTCTGATTTATGATATGGTTGTGAAACAACATTTTGACAACTTATGTTTTATGGAAAATGGTTTAATCCTTTTTAAAAAATTAAAATTTTACTATAGTTTTTAGGATGTTACAAAAACATAAAATAAAGATACCGTCTACATCTCTTTCGATAAAAAATTCATATATATTTTTTTATTAAAAACACAATAATGATAATTTATATATCATTTTTGGGATTTTTTATGATTCTCTTTAATAAATATCATTACTACAATCATAAAAACATCATCTAAATATAATTCCTAAATAGAGTTTCATGATATATGTGGCCTTGAAAAGCACTCCTTAAGACAAATCAATAAAAGTTCTATTAATATTATTTAACATTTGTTTTTATAACTGTTGTAGCTTTTATATTAATACAAAAGTTATAGTAGTTATAAAAACACATGCTAAATACAATTAATAGAATTTTTGTTGATTTTTCGTAAGAAGTGCGTTTCTAGGCCATATAATGTGTATAATAGAGCTCTATTTATGAATGATAGCCTCTTAAACTTTTGTTTACTGAGGTGTCTCTCGATTGTAAAAAAAATATTCGATAAGTTGTAGTTTTATGGTAAATGTTTTATACCTAAAACCTAAAAATTCAACAATGAAGTAGAATTTAATCTAGAAATATAGTTCTTTCGACAAATCACCAAATTCCTCTTAAGTTATACTCCCTCCGTCCCAAATTGATAATCCACTTTTGACTTTTGAAGTCTTTTTTCTTCAACTTTGACCTTAAATATTTTTACGTGTGCTATATATTACTTGATAAAACTTATAACAATGAAAAAACATTTAAAATACAATCCATTCATATATTTTGCATCAAATATTATCTATCAAAAACAAAAATATTTAAGTCAAAGTTGAAAAAAAAAAAGACTTCAAAAGTCAAAAGTGGACTATCAATTTGGGACGGAGGTAGTATATAATATAGATTATGTCTTTATGGTTATAGTAATGATATTTATTAAAGATGATTACAAAAAAAAATCAAAAATGATATATAAATTATCATTGTTTTGTTTTTTAATAAAAAAAAAAGTTATCTTTATTTTGAGTTTTTTAATAAATAAATATAAGTTTTCTTCAAATAAATTTAGTATATATAAAAAAAATTTCCAGGAAAATCTTTAAACTTTAACCTTACTAACGAAAAAGTTATCAATGATTTTTTTTTTTTTTTTTGCAATTTAACCTTTAAAACCAACACTAATTAACCCTGCACAAGAATTATTTTGTAAGTGTTTAACAGCTTCAATAGTTAAATTTCAAAAAAAATGTGACTTTTTGTACAATAAAGCTAAACTACGGGGACTTTTATGCATGTTTCCCTGTTCATAAATATAAAAATTATGTTAGCAACTACCTAATATTATGTTTTTAAAAACACAATTTTGTGTTTATTACTAGCCCATTTATTTGGTATTTAAATATCAAACTTGTAATTACTAAAGTTATTATGATTAGTTTTTATATTTGTGTAATTTTAACCCAAATTTTGTATTTATAATGTTAATCACGTAATATCATATAGTTTGATGAAACTTCTGATATTATTCCCTCAAAACTAAACACGCGTATTGACTTATACTTAAGAAATGAATCATCTTAATTATATTCCAAATCAACAGATAATCTTTACTAAATTACAAAAAATATGAATCTCCTAGTCCCCTTGGGAGACGAGCGTTTAGAATATTCTGAAAAACCACTTTTTTTGAACGGCAAGATTAAGACCATTAGCTTAAAAACATCGTAACAAACAATTTCCACTAAATATTAAAAAATAATCACCCAAAACCCAGTCAAATATACGATATAAAAAATTAGACTATATACCAAGTCTTTTTTCAATAAAAAAATATAATTGTACATAATTAAAGAATCTCTTATCATAAACCATTTTAAAAACAATCAAATATCAATTTAATTCACCGAAATCATCACATCTTCGCAAAAGATATTAGCTCGTGATTCTGTTTTGGTTTCTTCCTTTTCTTGAACTAGTTTCATTTGGTCATCGTTTCCGGTTTCTCATAGGTTAACACGAGCAATGACAGAAAAAATGCAGAGAAGACCGGTGCCAATAAGAACAGGCAAGCTGGTTGTGCCACAAATTAGAGCTACTGTTTGCAAATATTCTTGTTGCTTTTTAGGTTTACGTATGTAACTTGAGGTGTAATCCCATCCATTTGGTCTACAATTCATTTCCAATCTCTCTTTCATTCTCATAGCTTCAATTCTATCCTTCAGAATCTTCATATTCGAATCAACAATATTACTCGATCTCCCTGTTACATCAAAACAAAGTCAACAAACTAACACGAAATCATATCACATGCTTGTACAACAATGCATACCACAAGAATGTCATTAAACCATATTAATTACTCGTTTTTACCTTCGTCCCTCAAACTTTGAGCTCTAATCTCTAACTGTGAACACGATTTGTGCTTCTTTAGAACTGTGACACACGTGAAAGAAGGTATCATTGTAGACATATTTGTGTCTTGTTTTTTCGGTTTTGCTTTATTTTGGTGTATGTTTTTGTGGAGCTTTTGAACGATAGCTATGTCCCGTGTTTCTTGATATATAGCTGTTTTCAAATAATATCGAGCGTGTATATATATATTAATTATTATATAGTTGTGAAAATGGTGTATCAATATTTAATTCATTATGAAGGTTTGGGTGGGAGTTGGGACAAAAGACGAGTCAATGTAAGCCGATTTCGTATTCGGGCCAGACGAGGTACGCAGTCATGAAATATGTGAGAATGCTGTCAGTTTAGAATGCCGTTTTCATATGGTTTTAGCTGTCCTTACTCGATTACATCAATAAAGTTATTCCTTCGGTCATTTGGAAATTATGAAAAGAATTTGAAAGGTTGTTGTATGAAAATTATAACGTTTTATTACATTTATAATAAAATTCTTTTCGTATGTTTGTTAAACTTGACAGAGAAGCGATACATGTGAAGTTATACAATGGAATTCAGATGACATGTTTATCTTGATCGAAATAACATAATTCCATTTAGTAGACTCATAACTGGTATCATAGTGCCATTATTAATTAAAATTATAGTTGAAGCCAATACTCTCCTGACGTAGGTGAATAAAATCGGTCTCAAACCAGTCCTGAGTGTCACGGGATGACTCTTTTAGACTAGTCAATACCGTGTGCCACTTAGTGCTTCTCCGACTAAGTCAGGCTTACTTCGACGATCTAGATGTACTAACGAACTTAGGAAGCAAGAGTTACGACAATGGACACTTCAAGAAAGCTTCTATTATATAACTCAACTTCTTTACAAGGCAACTTCTCGATGGATCCTACAAATGATACATCCTTCCTATTTATAGGTACCTTACACCTCCTCAAATGGAAGTTTCTAGGTCCCGATTATTCTTGACTAATCTAGACTCTTCCTATTATAACATGAATTTTACAAGACTCTAGAATATGATATACTTGTCTACGATGCTCTAGAAATCTCTAGGTCGTCCCAAAATTATCCAAATCGCTCTTGTATGATCTAGCGTGTTCTAGATCGTTCCAAAGTCTTCCGGGTCGTTCTAGCTTCGTCTAGTGCCTTCTTGATTATTCCGGATCGTTCTCCTTTGTTCCACGGACATCTATAATATTCTAGTATCTTCCAGGGTCCCGTAGAGCATTCTTGATCTCTCCGGAGACTTCTCGAGTATACTTGATCGTTCCAGAGTTCTCTAGACGATCGTGGAATTTTCCAGAAACTTGGTCCGTGACACCCTCCCCCACTTAAACCCTTGACGTCCTCGTCAAGTCTTTTAACATGTTTCACTTGTCTTCTTACTTCCTTGCCTGTTGTGGGTCTTCTTGTAGCCTCACGATATATCGGAGAAATTCTTAAGGATAATCGTGACTCCGTCTTGCACCGATATGTGTCGACACCTTGAACTATGTGGTTTGGTTTCACATACTTCCTGGTTCGATCACTAGTCGCTTGTGAATCATCTTCATTCTTCCAACTTAGGGTATTTTCCCGTATCTTCCCAACTTCCTTAAGGTCTTTGTTAAACTTCATCGATGACAGCATTCGAGACCTTGTTCTACTCCTTTCTATTGGTACGATGTGAATGATTTTACCTTTAGTAATATGCATTGTGTTATCACTTTCAAATGACCATGGACGTACTCCGTCTAGGAATTCCATTCCTAATACCATGTTATAGTCGTCCATCGGTATGACTACTAGGTCAACGTTCCCTTCCCATTCCGCGATTTTCATGGGTACTCCCCGTGAAACTCCCAGGATAGGTTTGGAGGGAGAATTGACAACCTTCAACTGGCCTTCTTTTTTTAGGTAGTGGATTCCCAATCTCTTTGCTTCGTTTTCAGAAAGGAAGTTGTGAGTCGCACCTGAATCTATTAGCGCTTTGGTATTTCCTCCATTCAACTTGGCTTCGACTAGCATGAGACTTCCTACCTTAGAACCACTCCCTTTCGATTCCCTTGTCTCGTCTTTTGTCATAGAGTTCAGAAGTCGCATGGAACTCATGTGAGCTTCTTTTTCTTCTTCTTCTTCTTGCAACACCATCGCATAAAATGCCTTTTTCTTCTTCTTCTTCTTGCAACACCATCGCATAAAATGCCTTTTTCTTCGGGCAGTCTCGGATCAAGTGAGGACCATCACACAAGTAGCACTTGATCTCCTTCCGTTCTTCCCTTCGGTTTCTTCCTTCGATTGCTTTTCCTTTCGTATTCAAAGGTTGGGGTGTGTTTTGTTTTGGTTCCGGTTCTGACATAGTTTGTTCTCCCCCACTATTCTTCTTAACCGTGCTATCTTGTCGAAATTCCATTAGATCTTCTGCCACGGCAATAGCTTCGTCGACGTCTTTGACATTTCTCCTCTTGAGCTCATTGTAGGCCCAAGATTGTAGTCCATCCATGAAATAGAAAAGTTTGTCCTTCTCCTGCATGTCTGGTAACTCTAGCATCAAGCTCGTGAACTCGACTATATAGTCTCGGATGGATCCAGTATGCTTTAGCCCACAAAGTTTCTTCATCGCTATGTCTTCAGCATTATGTGGGCAGAATTGTCTCTTAAGTTGCCTCTTGAATTCTTCCCATGTGTCTATGGTATACAATCCTTTTTCAATATCACCGTGCTTCCTTCGCCACCATAGAGCTGCACTCTCGCATAGATAAAGTACGGCTGTATCTACCTTCGTCTTGTCGTCCTTCACTTGACTAGCATTGAAGTAGCATTCCATCGACCAAAAGAATTCGTCAAGTTCTTTGGGATCGCGTTTACCTCCATACTTCAATGGTTTGGGTGCTTCTGTGTGCGGCAACGTTCTCGCAATGGTCCCTCCGGCGATTGCTGCCTTGCACAAGTTTACTTCGGCTTGTAATGCGTTTACCTTCTCACGGAACTCATTCTGCAAGATGTTGATAAGTCCAAGGACTTCTTCCTTGATGACACCGATGGTCTCCTTCAATCCATCGCTCATGTCACTTATCTCAGCAACGAATTGATCGACGGTATCCTTCCACTCAAGGATCTCACTGACGCTAATCTCCACCTTTGTAAGCTTGTTTTCTAAGCTTGCCAAAGGGTCAACAGATTGGTCCCTCCTCCTGGACTTCCTTCCTTTCTCTTCGACGACAGGGGGAATGTTAGCTACATTACTTCCTCCTTCCATTGCTATGATCTCTTGCTTGTACGAACTCTAGCTCTGATACCACTTGTCACAGGATGACTCTTTTAGACTAGTCAATACCCTGTGCCACTTAGTGCTTCTCCGACTAAGTCAGGCTTACTTCGACGATCTAGATGTACTAAAGAACTTAGGAAGCAAGAGTTACGACAAGGGACACTTCAAGAAAGCTTCTATTATATAACTCAACTTCTTTACAAGGCAACTTCTCGATGGATCCTACAAATGATACATCCTTCCTATTTATAGGTACCTTACACCTCCTCAAATGGAAGTTTCTAGGTCCCGATTATTCTTGACTAATCTAGACTCTTCCTATTATAACATGGATTTTACAAGACTCTAGAATATGATATACTTGTCTACGATGCTCTAGAAATCTCTAGGTCGTCCCGAAATTATCCAAATCGCTCTTGTATGATCTAGCGTGTTCTAGATCGTTCCAAAGTCTTCCGGGTCGTTCTAGCTTCGTCTAGTGCCTTCTTGATTATTCCGGATCGTTCTCCTTTGTTCCACGGACATCTATAATATTTTAGTATCTTCCAGGGTCCCGTAGAGCATTCTTGGTCTCTCCGGAGACTTCTCGAGTATACTTGATCGTTCCAGAGTTCTCTAGACGATCGTGGAATTTTCCAGAAACTTGGTCCGTGACATGAGGGTCAGATCTTTTTTCGGTCTTGGGTTAACCTGTCTTGGTCAAGACTGTCCTATCTCGAATTGGTCTTTTGCAGTCGCTAGACCACAAAAAAATATTTAGCTGTAAAATGGTTTTGATTTTCGTTTATATTTTGCGGTCCGGTCTTTTGGGGGGTTTCGTTTCATAACATTATTATATAAAAAACTTTAATATTCCAGTGTCATAAGAAAGCTAGAAATTGTTTCATAACATTCCGTAAAATATCATTGAAACAACATATCTAGAAGGAAATTCCAATAATTATAATTGGCGTCGTCTATATATGTATTCTTCGTCGAGGGTGGCGTTGGACTATGTATTTGTCGCGTAATTTGCATTTTGTTCTTGAATGCCAGTAAAGATGTATTCGATGGTTTTTTCAACATCGGTGTTGTTAGATCAAAATGGTTCTTTAATCATAAACAATGTCAACGAAAACATAATAGAATCAATAGTAAATTACATGAATAGTCAGTGTGGTTTTGGGTAATGATTTTTCATCTATACTTTTTTCGATCGGATGGTCAATATATATGTTATATTTTTTTGTGGTTCTCATCTCTGATAGATGAAAAAAAGACTATTATACAACTTCTTATATATCTTTTAGCTTTTCTTTATATTGTTTTTATTTTATAATAAATGGGCATCACCCTTCTCCGTCCTTTTTTAGATGAATATCTTCTTCTTCATCTGCATTTATGAACAACGTTGTCGTTCCTTTTTGCCTTCGGAATTACCATCGTAGCCGATAACTTCGTTCAAAAAGCAGAGATCATCTTCCTGGTCCACCACCACCCAACATCAATGAAAGAGAATGAAATAAGATAATGCATTTATGTTGATAGCAAAGAAGTGACCCCACAACTCTCTTAATAGATCAAACATCATTTGGTGTTTGGAGAAGTTTGGCATCAGTAAACGTTGTGACTGGCGCTGATAGTTTGAAGAGTCACTACAAGCAAACGGGAATTTAATGACTTGCAAACTATGACACACACTGGATTTATGGCATGTAAAAGTGGGTGTTGTAAAAAATTTCATCCCTTGTCAAATTTAAAGGATTACGACACATATTTTTGTCTCCTAAAATTTGTCGTCATTTTATAATTTTTTTTAAGAAACACGCCTCCTCCTCCTTGGTACATAGAGGGAAAAAGAAATCCCTAAAAATT